ATTTAGTTATGAATTTTATAAGTTCAGCTACAAAACTGTCATTTTCCTAACGAGACTATACTTCAATCCGGATTTCGGGCTATTTTTGGTTAGTTTAAAAAATCTGAAACCTATCATGTAGTAGTTCTAAAAAGAGTGTTTTGAGTCTACTTTTATTTGCCATTGGTCTCATAATATTTTGAGTTTTGATGAATTTGTTATGAATATTTTCGTAACGATGCACAGTTATCTATTTTGTTAAATGATGATATGAACGTGATTTTTGAAAGCTATGGTTTTTAAAGGTTAATTAGCACATTGAAAGTTTCCCGCAACCAGCTAGTTTGTGCTTGCAAAGTGGTGATCAAAATTCAGGTAAGTAGAGTTAAAGCATTTTCAAAACTGCATCACAAGACTTATTTGATGAAAAAACTTATTCAGAATTGTGATTATGCAAGTTTTTTCTCTTATGAAATTCTTATACGATTATGTTCAAAAAGTATTCATGATTAATCATTTTGAAAGAGATTATGATATTTGCTTATTATGATTTTATGTTTTAAGAGATTTTATGGTATGGTATATAGATGCGAGGCTGGGTAAGCAGGGGTGCGATGGACCGGTGCCCCAAATTAGAGAAATAGTCTCTTTGAGACAAGTAGAGAAAAATGCTGTCTCTTGTTGATCACAAGAGAAAGAGATTCTAAAAATCTCGTTTAGTGTTTAAGAGAAGAGAATTGGCTAAAATTAGAAAAGGTCATGTATAGAGAGGCTTACTTGGAATCAAAGTTCTGTATCATACCTAAACTAAGAATAAGTATGAAAATGTTTAACAAAGAGATTTTAGCCACGAGGATTTTAGATACTTATTTTATTTGAAATCTACTTACTAAGTTTTTGCTCATTAGTTTTACCTTGTGATGGAGATGATGCTGTTGTTATCGAAGAGTAAAAAAAAATGATTTCCAAGGTTCGCTGAGCACTCCAAGTCCTACATCTGACATCTTACTTATATGTACTTCCAGCCAATAGATGGGCTCAAAATGTTTTTTTTTTGTGACTATGCCACTTTTGAATAACTGTTTAATGTCTAAGATTTGTGGTTGTAATCATTTTGCACACTGACTCATTTTGTTCAAAAACCTTTACAAAAATTTTGTGATGAAATCAACCACAAGTTTTTGCATCTTAAAAATGACATTGTTTTAAGTATAGAAAGTATGTTTTAAGTAGCACCAACTCGCTAAATTTAGCCTTAGACCAGTTTAGCGTTGGGGGTGTTACAGGGTTCCTGGCCTATATTGTTGTGACGGAGGTATCTGCACTAGTCCCAACGCTTGAGGTTGAAACTGTGGATAATATGGTGGTCGGTATGTTAGTGCAGGAGGAAATGACATTGGTGTTGGCAGCTGTGGCTGGTAAGGCGACACAAACTGCGGTGGTCTTTCTCGACCGTAAGAAGTATCACTCTGAGATTGCTGGGTCGGCGGCCGATTCTGATTCGGACAGTTCCTCCTAATGTGGCCAACTTACCCACAATGATGGCACTTGGGTCTATAAGGACCACTCCTGTCAATTCTAGACGAACTATTGCCACCACTGATCATTTCTCCACTAATCTGCCCCTGGTTGTGATTTCTTCTACTACTCCGCTGTGGCACGCCTAAAGCAGAGGGTCCTCCAGAAATAGAAATTTGACCGGCTGCTTCCTTGCTTTGATGATAAGCCAGATTATCTTGCTCTACACTTGTAGCAGCAGCCACTAAGTCTCAAAAATTCTGAATTCTCAGAGCCACCAATGGTCTTCTTACAGAATTCTTAAGACCTTTCTTGAATTTAAGGCATTTCAAGTGTTTAGACTCCACCAATGATGGCGCAAACTGGGATTAGTCATTAAACTTAGCCTCGTATTTCCTTGCCGACATCTCACCCTGTAGCAAGGACATAAACTCCATTGCCTTGTCATCCCGATAACTCTGAGGGAAGTATTGTTCATTAAAAAAGGATTTAAATTGATCCCAAGTCATTCCTACAATATCTTGCCTTCTCCTCACTTGCTTCCACCAAGTGCTCGCTTGGCCTTCCAGCTTATACACAACAAATTCCACCCAATACTCTTTCAGTATTCCCAACAAATTCCACCCAATACTCTTCCGGTATTCCCATGGTGTTTAGGTGCTTCACTACTGAGTCAAATTAGTACTCCACTTTCTGGGGTCCTCCCTCATTATTGAATGTGGGGATATGTCCACGTCTAAATTCACAGAAATAACTCTGCTTCCTATCCTTGACCGGTCGCTCATTCTGAGCTCGAGTGGCCATCCCTTGGAGAGCAGCATACATGACATCCATGAATTCTTGATTATGTGGTGCCGGTTGATTAACTGATCTACAACGCAGCGATATCTCCTTTAATTGAAAAGAAATTGGACTGTTTAGTGGATTCCTGTGGTTTCTAAACCTAATGCTCTGATACCACTCTGTCACGCCCTGAAGCCGGGGTTAGTGACGTGGAGGCTCGTTTAGGAGTTAAACGGGATTAAGAGAGTAATTAAACATTTATAATCATAATAATCAAAATCAACAGGAAAATATTAAAGAAAATTTTCAAACGAGCCCCACATTTAGCTAAAAAATAAATTACAAGAAAGTTACGAGGTCTTCCTCACTTTCTGATCACAAGAGGTTAAAACTTGAACCTCTAACATCTTTAAGGGCTTTACCCACAGAATATGCAGTATTGTACATATATGAACATGTAAATAACATTACAGACATCAACCACAGTCTAAAAATCTAAAGTCCAGAGTTTACAAAGTTTACAATTCTTACATTTACTCACAAGGAGGAAGAACACAATCTTCTCTTAATCGGATGGTAGCAATCTAACTTAGCTACTCCGCACTGCTTCTAGAGTCACCTGGGAGGGGTTTAATATTTATAAAATAAATAAAATGTGAGCGAAAGGCCCAGTAGGATGTATTTTAAAATAACTTTATAAACAAGTAAATAAATGAATGAGTAAATAAATGAATGAATAAGAAATTAAATAAATATAGACATTCAGTTCCAACACAACGGCCGAAACCTCACATCATTTTCCTTAAAGGAATATAAACTGAAAATTTCATATTACAGTCATCAGCAAGTAATTCATCCTTTTGATGAATTACTTACACAACCACAAGCACAAGCCTTAACACCACCGTAGTGGCCCGGTCTAGGTTTCGGGTTCTGCCTCCAAGGATACACTCTCCATATCCTATCTAGGCCATCAGCCGGTTTACCGATTCGTAAGATCTTTTGTCTTAAGAAATCATTCATTAAACGTTCTGAAATAGTTCATTATGATTCGAATAGCTAAAATCAAGCTATCATTTTTAAAATACTTTTCTTTCGCAGACAACCCTTTCTTTAAAACATTTGCAAGATCAAAACTCTTTTGAAAACATGCTATCAAAGAAAGGGGTAAGGAATCCTACCTCGTAAGTACCAAACCTGTGGCTAGCGTTGCGCTTTCCTAGCCTCCGCTTCCTCGAAGCCTTCAGTTTGATTCCTCAACTATCATTGATACAAAACAACACTTTAGGATCCAAGTCTCATTCCTAAAGTAATTCAATCTTAATTATACCCTTTGATTTCCTTTTAGTGTGCCTTAATCTAATTTCAAATTCCATAAATCATTTTATGTTTCAAATCTCAAAACATGGATTAAAGATGCTAATCCATTTACTTTAGATCCCCAAATGAAGCTAATTTGGGTTCTCCTAAAAAATCAGGGTCAAAACAGGGTTTTCAAGTAAAACAGGGTCAAACCTCGTGTATACTGGTCAACCGGTGACAGAGCTGTACAACACCACCGTTCGATCAGTGGTGTGCAATCCGGTCGACCGCATAGGTCGACCTGGTGGAATGCAATCCGGTCGACCGCATAGGTCGACCGGTGGAGGACAGAAATGCGAGAAAACTTGCCGAATCAGTTTGAAAACCTGCAAATTCGAGTTTAATCCGAGATATTTCAAAGCGGAATCACTCAATCCAGGTTCCAAATGACAAATACAGTCCAAAGAACTAAAAATCTCAAATTTCTACCATGATTTTACTCAAAATCCATGAAAATCCGTTTTGAACCAAAATAGGTTTTCAAATCTGAAAAATTCGAGATTCAAGAGAGGTTTTTTAGAAATCTTACCTCAAATCAGTCTCTTGATCTTGAAAACTCCTTGAAATTCTTTTTTGGTTCAAGATCCGGTTGATTTGGTGCAAAAACGAGAGAGAGAAAGAGAGAGTGAGAGAGGGAGAGAGTGAAGAACAACAGAGAAGAGAGAGAGAGAGTGAGGATGCACGGCAAGAAAAAGAAAAGGAAGAAAAAGAAAAGTAAAAGAAAAAGGAAAAAACATGTATCACAAAAATTAAAAGACAGTCCAGAAAATGTGTCTACACAAACTTTGGGATGAAAATGTAAATACTTAAATATTTAAATTTCTTGGAATCGTTTAAATTCACACGTCAAAAATATTTAATAAATATAATTAATTAATTAAATCAGATTAAATATACTAATAAATTTTAAATACCTTAAACTGCAAACCGTAGGACATGTCGTTTAAAGTGAGCGGTAACAAAATATTAGCAAACTAGCAAAAATAACGTTCCTCTCCAAAGGTTTATCTAAACGGTCGGAGTTTATTCCAAAGTACAGATTGAATGTGATGTCCATCCTTGACAGTAAATTTTCGAAGAGATAACTAATTGTCGTTTTCTGAGAGCAAATTATTTTTCGATAAAACGACATCTATTAGACTGTTTCTAACATTTTCTACTTGATTTGCATTAAAAATGTTCTTTTGAGAGTAAAGTGGTCATAATCCATTACTATTCATTAACATCCAAAATTAACGTCTAAGTTCGAATTCTCCAAAAATAGACGTCTACAGCAAAACATTTTTTGAAATATAAAAAATAAAAATAAATAAAAAAACACCGGGTAATTCATAAATTAATCTATTCCCACCACTAAAAAAAGCTCTTTCTTTATTCTGTCTACCAATAATTGCCGTTGAAGAGGAAGAACCCAAAGGAACACCAGCACCACCGCTGCGCCTACGTCACAAGGTGGTCTGGTGCTTTGGGTGCTTCCTTCTCCGAGATAAAGAGACCCTTTTGCCCTTCTACCCGATTGCGATTTCTCCATATCTCTCACAGGTTGGTCCTTTTTTTTTTCAAAATAATAATAATAATAATAATTATCCTCGTATATTTGTTCTTCCTTTAATTATGTTTCAGAAAACCAATTAAAAACGTTTCTTTTTCCATATTTAACTGACCTCAGAAGGGGCTCATCTGGGCGTTTCTTTCCCGGAATCGGCTTTTTCCTACCGATTGGATGATTTGATTTGTCCTCGAAAAATCTCGTCTTTAGATCTGCCATAGCTTGTTGTTTGGGTCTTCCTTATATTTTGCTCAGGCATGGGGTAAGTTTTCTGATTCCCATTTTCATTAGATTCTCTCTCTTTTTTTTTTTTGAATGGCTTTTTAGACTCTTATTTGTTGTGAATCCTCTCTTTCTTTTTGTTTATTTTTTAAAATAATAAAGATTTAATTTTGTATATTTTTGGGCTGATGAATCTGCTCCTTTGTTGGCTGTATATGTAATTGATATATGTATTATATATAGGAAAAATAAAGATTGGATATTTGCATTTCGTTTGTTCTAGACTTCTGTTGTAACGAAATTGGAATTTTAGCTCAGTATAGCAACGGTTTGATTTATGAAGCTATTTAAACCAATTTCTAGGATATTGACGCACATTTTTAGTTATTGGTTGTTGAATTAAGCTTATATATTTTTGTACATTATTTGATGTCCATCCTTTGAGTATAAATTGAGTCAAGTCCTTTCCATTTTGTTGGTGCGCTCCGGATTTTCAAAGTGATGAAGGGGACAAGGGCGCGGAATGGCACCAACGATACACTTTTTCATTCGAGAGAGAGAGAGAGAGAGAGAGAGAGAGAGAGAGAGAGAGAGAGAGAGAACATGATTTTTTTTTAATGTGATTTATAACAGAACCAAATGTGTTTTGTAACAGAGCAGTGGTTGTCTAGCATGCCATACTAAGCCTAAACATATAACAGTGGATGAGCCGCCACCACCACCACCACCACTACCACCGAAAAGAGTCGCAAATCAAGGACGGGCAGTGAGGAAACCTAGCATTTCAGAGGACTTTTGGACTAGTAGCACCTTTGATATGGACAACAGTGCTGTTCAGTCTCAGGGAAGCATCTCATCAATCAGCACAATTAATCAGACCCTTGATCCCAATAGTGGTGCTTGTGCTACTAACTCTTCTGAATTTGTAAATCATGGTAATTAAGTCGTCCTTGCTTTTGAATTTTCGACTAAATTTTATGGTTTGGTATATCCTATTTAGTGTATACTTAGTGCGTTAATCACAAAGTTTACTAGCAGCTTAACGGGCTTCAGTTTCACAAGTTTCATGTTTTTCACTTTTGGACCTGTTTGTTGCTGTCTTTACTTAACTCTCTGTATCAATGGTGTGCATTATTTTCCAGTTGAATTTTCATTTTTCCAAGTAGTGCTATTTCTTACTTGTTTGGTTTGCCCACATAAATATGATCATTAGAGGTGCTACGTATGCGATCCTTTTTTCCCAGGTCTTCTTCTGTGGAACCAAACTAGGCAGCGTTGGTTAGGGAATAAAAGGTCTGAGAACCGGTCCCAACAGATTCGTGAACCCAAATTAAGGTGAGTTGTGCTGAGTCTTTTGGATTACTCCGAGTATACTTCTATATTTGCCCTTGTGCAAATGACCTGGCATTTGCATTGTGGTGTTTAAGGGTGGAAAGCAATTGTGTTAAGTTTCGGTTTTGTTTTGTTTTGTTTTTTGTTTTTTTAATTTTTTTAATATTCCTGAGCTAATGAGAGAGAATAAATAAAGAACTATAAGGAGCATTTCTTAACTATGGTTGATATTCGAAACATAATGGTGTCGCTTTTATGAGACTTTGATAAGTTAAATTTGAAAAATCACTTTTAAGAATCAATCACCACTTGAATGTTTCAAGTAGGCAGTAGCAATGCTTGTTTGTAGGA